TTGATGTGCGCCTCAGGAGATATGCTCGGTGTTATACTCGCCCCCAGATCTTTTTCCTTGAGTGAGGTTTGCAGTCTTTGGCCATCTAAACTATATTGTGTCTGCGGTCTTCTTTGCCCTTCCCCAATCTTCATGACTTTGCATTTGGCAGGGTTAAATTCAAGGAGCCAGTTGCTGGACCAGGCTTGTAGCTTGTCCAGGTCTCTTTGTAGTCCTGCCTGATCCTCGTCCGATTTGATTCTTCTCATTAACTTCACATCATCTGCAAACAAGGACACTTCTGAATCTATCCCTTCCGTTATGTCCTTCACGTATACCAAGAACAGCACAGGTCCTAGGACTGACCCCTGTGGAACCCCGCTTGTCACAGGCGCCCACTCTGACACCTCGTCGCGTACCATGACTCGTTGTTGCCTCCCTGTCAGATATTCTCTGATCCATTGCAGTGCCTTTCCTGTTATGTGTGCCTGGTCCTCTAGCTTTTGCAGTAACCTCTTGTGAGGAACTGTGTCGAAGGCCTTCTTGCAGTCCAAAAATACGCAGTCGATCCACCCCTCTCTCTCTTGTCTTCTGTCACCTTGTCATAAAACTCTAGTAGGTTTGTGACACAGGATTTTCCTTCCCTGAAACCGTGCTGGTTGTCAATTATACACTTGTTTCTTTCCAGGTGCCCCACCACTCTCCTCCTGATGATCTTCTCCATGACCTTGCATACTATACACGTTAGTGATACAGGTCTGTAGTTTAGTGCCTCATGTCTGTCTCCCTTTTTAAAAATTGGGACTACATTTGCCATTTTCCATACCTCAGGGAGTTGCCCAGTTTCAAATGATGTGTTGAAGATCTTTTTTAATGGCTCACACAATATCTCTGCTCCCTCTTTAAGGACCCATGGAGAGATGTTGTCTGGTCCCACCGCCTTTGAGGTGTCAAGTTCGCATAGCAGCTTCTTCACCTCCTCCTTGTTATATGTACCTCATCCAGCACTTGCTGGTGTGCCCCCCTGTTCTGATTTCTTGGAGTCCTACTGGTTTCCACTGTAAATACCTCTTTAAATCTTGTGTTGAGCTCCTGACATACCTCTCGGTCGTTTCTTGTGAATTCCCCATCACCCTTCCTCAGTCTGATTACCTGGTCCTTGACTGTTGTTTTCCTCCTGATGTGGCTGTACAACAGCTTCGGGTCAGTCTTTACTTTTGATGCTATGTCATTTTCATATTGTCTCTGAGCCTCCCTTCTTATCTGTGCATATTCGTTTCTGGCTCTTCGGCTGATTTCTTTATTTTCCTGAGTTCTCTGTCTTCTGTACCTTTTCCATTCTCTAGTACACCTAGTTTTTGCCTCCCTACACCTTTGGGTGAACCAAGGACTCGTTCTGTTCTTCCCATTATTTCTGTTTCCCTTGGGAACAAACCTCTCCTCTGCCTCCTTGCATTTTGTTGCTACATAGTCCATCATTTCTTGTACTGGTTTTCCTGTCAGTTCCCTCTCCCACTGAATGTCTTGAAGGAAGTTCCTCATGCCTGAGTAGTTCCCCCTTTTGTAGTTTGGTTTTTCCCAGCCTATTCCTGCTACTCTCTCCACTTGGAGCTCAACTATGTAGTCGAAGCACAGAACCACATGATCACTAGCTCCCAGGGGCCTTTCATACATGATACCCTCGATGTCCGAACTACTCATGGTGAATACAAGGTCCAACCTTGCTGGTTCATCCTCTCCTCTCTCTCTGGTAGTGTCTCTAACATGTTGATGCATGAGGTTCTCCAGTACCACATCCATCATCTTGGCTCTCCATGTTTCGGGACCCCCATGGGGCTCCAGGTTTTCCCAGTCAATCTCCTTGTGATTGAAATCACCCATAACTAGTAACTTTGCTCCCCCCATGTGTGCTCTCCTGGCCACCTCGGCTAGTGTGTCGATCATTGCTCTGTTGCTCTCATCGTATTCTTCTCTTGGCCTCCTGCAGTTCTGTGGTGGGTTGTACATTACTGCAATTATCACCTTATGTCCCTCAGACTGGATTGTTCCTACTAAGTAGTCCCTTTGCCCATGCCATCCATTCCTTCCATTTTCTCAAAACCCCACTGGTTTTTAATGAGCAGTGCAACTCCTCCTCCCTCTGTCTTTCCTGAGGATTTGATATCCGGATGGAAAGATTGAATCTGTTATTATTCTGGTGAGTTTTGTTTCTGTGAGTGCTATTATGTCTGGGGATGTCTCTTTGATTCTTTCGTGCCACTCCTCATACTTGTTTGTTATTCCATCTGCATTTGTATACCACACCTTCAACTTGTTTTCTAAGACTGTGGTCTGGGAAGTATATTGGGGTTGGGGAAGTGGGAGACCTGGTAAGGAACTATGGGTTGTTGCTGTGGGGGTGGAGTTTGTAATGTAGTGGGTGGGGGCATTGGATGTGGCATGGGTGTTTTGATTTAGAGTGTTTGGTTGCACTGGGGTTGACCTGGTTGGGAGGCTTCTATAGGAAGTTGTGAGGGAGGCTAGCTGAGTGTGCTAGCGATCGAGCTACGGGTCTGATAAGTATTAATCTTTTTCTTTTTTTTTTTTTTTTTGGTCTATAATGCTACGTGAGCCCAGTATCTGTGAGAGTTTTCCAGGCCTTTTTGATAATACTCTATTTCTTTGAATCTGTTGGCAAAATATAGTTGTTTCGATATCTTTATAAGTATGGTAAATGTTGGTGCATTTATTTTTGCTAGTTTTGGAGGGAATTAAGCCAATTTTGTGTTTTTTCATAATTGTTTCTTGTCAGTGGATCCGAGGAAGTTGGTTAGCCTAGGGCTATTTACTCGACTGTCATGGGTGGCAACCTGGGGAAGAGGACCTAAGGGCCACAATGAAAATAAATCACATTACTTGATTTTCTTGGGTTAACCAGTATTACTAACACTCCGAAGAAGGAAAGGGAGTACAACCGCTACTTCATTACTGCTGCTGCCGCAGCGCCGGAGTTGGAATTGAGACGTGTTGACTCAGGGAGTGAGAATTATTATAATCATGGGGAAGCGCTAAACTCGTAGGATTATAGAGCGCCTGTGGGGGAATGGAAGTTATTCAGGCTTAATTCAGGGAACTGGAGCACAGATCCAGTTCTCTAGATCAAGGGCCCTTTACCAGCAGGGAGTGAGGAGTCTGGTTCTGCAGGTGATTTGGCCTGGAATTCAGCGGCGAATTTTCCCGTTTTTAACCACTGCAATATTTATCACGATGCCCGCCGTCAGTGGGTTGGGCGCCTTACATCAGTTCCTTCTAGGTTGAGATTGTTGTTATTATTATAATTATAAGTAAGCGCTAAACCTACAAGGGTCATACAGCGAATCAAGGCTAAGAAAAAGCCTGGTGTTGTTGACTCAGTTGGAGGTCTATGTGGAGTGTGTCTGGTTTTGTCAGGGTTTAGGCAGTGATCCACCTGACCTAATGCTCCCCTTTCTTGTTCTTGGAGGGAACTTAATATCATCATCAAGTAGTCCTCATAACTCCAAACAACACGAGACTTGATATATTGGACTTAAGTGCCGGCATCTTGGTAGTGTGCAGACGTTTCGCTCGTGCACGAGCACCTGTTACAGAATTTCCTCATTTTTTTCTGGGACGCTTGTCTTTGTCTTATTGTGGCCGCTGGGCACATTACACGAGGGTCGCAGTTGGTCGGCTCCATATGAAAATAAGTTAGACTTTTGGGGGCTATCTTAGGTAATTTACACGATTTTAGTTTGAAGTTCTCTCTAAGGAGTCTCTGCTCCCAAAGAATGCAATAAAATTGCTTATGCAAATTCTTAGATAAATAAGGTTCAGCTGTCAGAGGTACATAATGCGGCCCAGTCCCTGGACCCATTATGTACCTCTGAAATCTTTTGACTACCACCCTCAGGATGGTATGGGATGCATAATAAAGATATTAAACTAAGGTAAAATTGGTTATTTTATATTTAAATTTTAGCAGGGTATGATTAGGTTGTTAAGTTTTGGTGCAACATTTGAGGAATTAGTACATCGTGTGAAAATGGAAATGGAAGGTAATCTGATCTGATCCAAGAATAGGGAGGTCGGCATTAGTTCCATGGATCAAGGTACCCCTTCCTTGGAAGACATAGTATGATTACTTTAGGTAGTATTATTATTTTACAGAAAAAAGTAGTAAATACATATGGTCATTCAGCCTTGAACCTGGCCATTTTAAGATGCAAAAAAAAAAAAAATCTTAAGATATCCAAGGATAGGAGCCTGAGCACTTGTTACAACCAAAAACATTCTTGGAGGTATTCAGCCGGATTACTATGATTATATTCACAAAAAGTGCTAAACTGCCTCTTCACACAAACTCCAAGGCTGACTGATTGATTACCTGGAGTTTACCTGGAGAGTTCCAGGGGTCAACGCCCCCGTGGCCCGGTCTGTGACCAGGCCTCCTGGTGGATCAGAACCTGATCAACCAGGCTGTTACTGCTGGCTGCACGCAAACCAACGTACAAGCCACAGCCCGGCTGGTCAGGAACCGACTTTAGGTGCTTGTCCAGTGCCAGCTTGAAGACTGCCAGGGGTCTGTTGGTAATCCCCCTTATGTATGCTGGGAGGCAGTTGAACAGTCTTGGGCCCCTGACACTTATTGTATGGTCTCTTAACGTGCTAGTGACACCCCTGCTTTTCATTGGGGGGATGTTGCATCGTCTGCCAAGTCTTTTGCTTTCGTAGTGAGTGATTTTCGTGTGCAAGTAAGGTACTAGTCCCTCTAGGATTTTCCAGGTGTATATAATCATGTATCTCTCCCGCCTGCGTTCCAGGGAATACAGGTTTAGGAACCTCAAGCGCTCCCAGTATATAGTTCTGCTGTCTTCCAGTTATGTCCTTGAATTTGTATTGATAAAGCCACTGGATGGTGAAACATCTACAATAAAGATACCCACGTGTCTAATTTTCAACTAATTTCATCAGTTTCTACTCTGGAGTACAGTATACATATATCCTAATGACCTCTGACTCATCTTTGTTCTGATGGACACAGGTACTGGAACTGCAGGCTCAGCATGGTGACCTGGAGACTGCACCTCTACTGGGTGACCCCTGGCCAACTTCACAGTTCCTCTCTCACCTTCTGAGTTACCTCCAAAAGGAGCCACAAACATCCTTCTTTGCTGAGTACCTCAACCTCACCAACTTGGCCTATCTCCTCCCTGGTCATGATGGTGGGTGAGATTTGCCCTAGTTTACTTCATTTTATGTCATTCACTATTATTATTAAGAATAAAGTCACAGTACCTTGATTGGAACAATACATAAATAACCTGCCCATGGGATAATGAAATTATGACAACATTTTGAGCCATCTTGGACTATTAACTAGTTGTTTGAGATCACATGATTGTATTAACTAGTCCTCTGTCAAAACTGTCTAGCCTTCACAGTGTTGTTGAAGCATCCTTTATACACAGCTTTCCTAATATGAATCTTAGTCCTGGCTTTGTCTCTGTAGATGCCTTCCTTTCTCATTACATTGTCAAATACTTCAATTATTATTATAATCCAATAGTACTAAACTGACATGGGTCATGCAGTCAGATACTCCAAACTTCAGAACACCTGTGACTTGTCCTGCTTTTTGTCCTCTTCACTTAACCTCTTCTCCTTTCCTATTTTTTTCCTTTCTTTTCTTCTGCCTAGGTAGGTTCTGTCCTATGAGTTTTTAGCCTGGGTCATTAGCTCTCCTGTAGTGCTCCTTTTTTCTTTTACCTCTTGTTCTTATTCTACCTCTACTACTAATATTGCTGTACTGACACTCCACTCTCAGACTCTTGTGTCACTACCACTACTCATTGCCACAGTTGCACTACTTGTATTACTATCTCTACCATTACTTCCATGATTATACTACTACTATCTATTTTACTATTCCCGGCCCTGCCCCCTTCCCCTTTCATCTCGTATATATACTGGCTTCCTTTCCTTCACGCTTCTGTCACTAGCTAATGATTCAATATGTACGGGTTGTACATTATCATTATTATTATTATTATATTCACGGGGAAGTACTAAACCCATAAGGGTCATACAGCATTTGTGGTAAAGGAGGTAATTAAGTCGATTTATGGCACCCCGTTCCCTGTTTAAGGTCAAAACACAACTTAGCAAATTATTATATTAGAAATCAAGCACCAAACTAGTATGGATCTTACAGCATAATTCAGAAAAAATGTGTAAAAAATAAGAGTCCTGTAAAGAAAAACAAAAGACCTTTTTTTTTACTTTGAATTTCTTGCAGGTCAATCAAGGCAAACCAATCCATGATATCTTTCCTAAAATTTTTCAATTTCCATCACAGAAAACCTGGACCCTCTGAAGTACACAGCATTTATACCCATGGATAACGTCATAGCTGAGACCCTGTATGCTGATGCTCCAGATCCATTCCTGCTGGATGAGATCCTAAGAGAAAACATGGTACTCAATCATCTAGTACGAGGCAGATTTTACGAGAAAGATTTGAAAGACGGACTTACCTTGAAGACTCTTGCCAACAATACACTTACCATTTCTAAAGGACCAGGTATTGTACTATCTGTATTAGTTCTAATAGAAAATAATCTATGTATTTCACCTAGAGCAGCTAATCAGTCATATATTTGCACTTAATGCTGCTGAAAATTAATTATTAAACTCCTCTGTTCTGAATTATATATCCAAAAACATTAGCAAGTTAATCTTGCTATTACCACTGTGACACAAAGAAAAATCTTCCCCTTGTTCAACTTTTTTTGCTCAACTTATTTCTTGGGAGCACTAAATACATGGCGGTCATACAACACTTTGGGAAGCAGGTAGAAATCAGATTGTCTATGGAAAGAGCCCTTCACTGGCATCAATGCACCTCTCTTCAAGGGATCGACAAGTGCAGTATCCAAAAGTAAATACTGTATGTCATTAGCATATTTTTAGGAGAGGCCCTTGTGTGAAGGATTTTCAGGGAGACTAATTCTGTGCCTTACAAACTACCTAATATTAATCCTAGCATGTTTGTATTTAGGCAATTCAGCATGGATCTTTTATGCACTTTATAAATGCTTAGGAAATACACACTTAAAATCAACTAGAAGTACTGGTGTGTCATTTTTCTAGGTAGTACAAGACAAGGTAATATCCAGTCATCAGTCACAACTTATTCACAGCTAGGGCTCGGCAGATTTTCATGCTTGGGTAAACCTTACTGTTATTTAGCTTGAAAGAAGAGAGAGGTAGGGAAATATTTAGGCTTTACTCAAGAAAAGGGAAGTAAGCTCCAATTCCATGCCTTTCCCCATAACAAGGAACTTTATTGAAGAATTTTTTGCCTTGGAACTTTTAAATATTTCCCGTTCAACATGATCATCCATCATCCTTTCCAAATAACCAGTTTAATGCAAAGTATTCTTAATTCAGTCAGTACATTCACATAAGTTTATTTATCATCACCTATCTATAGGAACTTTAACCTGGCATTTTCTTACCACATTGTTTACTATCAGTTTCCCTGACATACATGGATCACAGGAAATTCCTAGATATTTCACTGAAGTTACTGTTGGTATGGATTCCTTGTTGCATACTACATTTAAATTGTTTATATCTTTTAATTTACCTTTTGAGTCAAAGAGTATGGCTTCTGTTTGTCCTGTGTAGTGACAGTTTATCACTAATCATTTACTGTGAGATTCTGAATCCATTGATATTATTTTGGGTCTTTATCTGATACTAGAGCACTGTCCTCTGCATGTATTGAGAGTTTGCACTTAACACTGCTCTGCATGTCATTTACATAGCACAGAGTAAGGGGCTTAGAATGGTTCCTTGGGAAATTGTGTGTTATTAGCAAGAATTCTGATTGTTATTGAGCTTACCAAATTTGTTTCCTGGTGGTCAGATAAAACTTAAATTAGTGTTCAGAGCCTATCCTGATAGCTTGTAGTCTCTCACATAATACTGATTATTAGGTCTGGTGCTTTTAATTAGTTAAGCTTAATTCAACACCAGGTACATGTAAAAGCTGAAAATTGTTTGAGGGTGATGCCTTTATTACTGTAAAATGATTTGAGTGTTAAATTTGGTTGATGCACATGTCAATTTACCGACTAATAATGTTGCAAAGATTGTATAGAATGAGTTGAAACAGCCACTGTAGTAGATTCATGGCATATCTCATGTTTAGCACTATGAGAATGGTCTGCTGGTTTATGGCTATAACCAAGGACTTAGCTGTTGCCAGAACTTTTTTGGGGATTGTTTTTGCCTTCAATTTTAAGAGCTATGATGCCTTGCCTTTGCCCATTTTATCTCTCTGCTGTTTTTCTTTCTCAAAGGAATTCATGGAGGGCTGCAACATCTTGCCTATTTGTTTTAAACCTTCTAAGCAACTGATCTCAAAATTCAGTATTGTTTAGTAACTCTCCAGATATCCAGGGCTCAGTTATAGCTTTTATCCTAATTTCTTTTGACACAATATTAACCACTACTGTTGAATGTAGTTTCAATTTTTTCCTCGACATCATTAACATAAGCACCTTGTTATTACCACCTATTCACAGTTTTGTAGCTCTTATGTACTAGTTCTTCCTTGCCATGGTTCCTAGTCGTTCTCGTTCTTACTGTCCTGTTTTCCCATGGGTTCGCTAGTAGTTTTCCTGGCGCAGCAAGTGATAAGATGATCATTAAGTCCTATGGGAATGTTACCTGACTGACAGAGCCTTTCATAGTAAGGTTCACTGCTGTCTGACAACTGTGCTAATCGGGCGAGATATAAGCGACTATTGGCAGAAAGGTGGGCTAGTGCAAAGATGAGTAGTGGGGGGGTTGAAGAGGGTTGGAATAGTTTTAAAAATGCAGTATTAGAATGTGGGGCAGAAGTTTGTGGTTATAGGAGGGTGGGGGCAGGAGGAAAGAGGAGTGATTGGTGGAATGATGAAGTAAAGGGTGTGATAAAAGAGAAAAAGGTAGCTTATGAGAGGTTTTTACAAAGCAGAAGTGTTATAAGAAGAGCAGAGTACATGGAGAGTAAAAGAAAGGTAAAGAGAGTGCAAAAGGAGAGCAGATGATAGAGTGGGAGAGGCACTGTCAAGAAATTTTAATGAAAATAAGAAAAAATTTTGGAGTTAAACAAGTTAAGAAAGCCTAGGGAAAATATGGATTTGTCAGTTAAAAACAGAGTAGGGGAGTTAGTAGATGGGGAGATGGAGGTATTGGGTAGATGGCGAGAATATTTTGAGGAACTTTTAAATGTTAAGGAAGAAACAGAGGCAGTAATTTCATGCACTGGTCAGGGAGGTATACCATCTTTTAGGAGTGAAGAAGAGCAGAATGTAAGTGTGGGGGAGGTACGTGAGGCATTACGTAAAATGAAAGGGGTAAAGCAGCTGGAACTGATGGGATCATGACAGAAATGTTAAAAGCAGGGGGGATATTGTGTTGGAGTGGTTGGTACTTTTGTTTAATAAATGTATGAAAGAGGGGAAGGTACCTAGGGATTGGCGGAGAGCATGTATAGTCCCTTTATATAAAGGGAAAGGGGACAAAAGAGACTGTAAAAATTATAGAGGAATAAGCTTACTGAGTATACCAGGAAAAGTGTACGGTAGGGTTATAATTGAAAGAATTAGAGGTAAGACAGAATGTAGGATTGCGGATGAGCAAGGAGGTTTCAGAGTGGGTAGGGGATGTGTAGATCAGTGTTTACATTGAAGCATATATGTGAACAGTATTTAGATAAAGATAGGGAAGTTTTTATTGCATTTATGGATTTAGAAAAGGCATATGATAGAGTGGATAGAGGAGCAATGTGGCAGATGTTGCAAGTATATGGAATAGGTGGTAAGTTATTAAATGCTGTAAAGAGTTTTTATGAGGATAGTGAGGCTCAGGTTAGGGTGTGTAGAAGAGAGGGAGACTACTTCCCGGTAAAAGTAGGTCTTAGACAGGGATGTGTAATGTCACCATGGTTGTTTAATATATTTATAGATGGGGTTGTAAAGGAAGTAAATACTAGGGTGTTTGGGAGAGGGGTGGGATTAAATTATGGGGAATCAAATTCAAAATGGGAATTGACACAGTTACTTTTTGCTGATGATACTGTGCTTATGGGAGATTCTAAAGAAAAATTGCAAAGGTTAGTGGATGAGTTTGGGAATGTGTGTAAAGGTAGAAAGTTGAAAGTGAACATAGAAAAGAGTAAGGTGATGAGGGTGTCAAATGATTTAGATAAAGAAAAATTGGATATCAAATTGGGAGGAGGAGTATGGAAGAAGTGAATGTTTTCAGATACTTGGGAGTTGACATGTCGGCGGATGGATTTATGAAGGATGAGGTTAATCATAGAATTGATGAGGGAAAAAAGGTGAGTGGTGCGTTGAGGTATATGTGGAGTCAAAAAACGTTATCTATGCAGGCAAAGAAGGGAATGTATGAAAGTATAGTAGTACCAACACTCTTATATGGGTGTGAAGCTTGGGTGGTAAATGCAGCAGCGAGGAGACGGTTGGAGGCAGTGGAGATGTCCTGTTTAAGGGCAATGTGTGGTGTAAATATTATGCAGAAAATTCGGAGTGTGGAAATTAGGAGAAGGTGTGGAGTTAATAAAAGTATTAGTCAGAGGGCAGAAGAGGGGTTGTTGAGGTGGTTTGGTCATTTAGAGAGAATGGATCAAAGTAGAATGACATGGAAAGCATATAAATCTATAGGGGAAGGAAGGCGGGGTAGGGTCGTCCTCGAAAGGGTTGGAGAGAGGGGTAAAGGAGGTTTTGTGGGCGAGGGGCTTGGACTTCCAGCAAGCGTGCGTGAGCGTGTTAGATAGGAGTGAATGGAGACGAATGGTACTTGGGACCTGACGATCTGTTGGAGTGTGAGCATAGTAATATTTAGTGAAGGGATTCAGGGAAACCGGTTATTTTCATATAGTCGGACTTGAGTCCTGGAAATGGGAAGTACAATGCCTGCACTTTGAAGGAGGGGTTTGGGATATTGGCAGTTTGGAGGGATATGTTGTGTATCTTTATACGTATATGCTTCTAAGCTGTTGTATTCTGAGCACCTCTGCAAAAGCAGTGATAATGTGCGAGTGTGGTGATGTGTTGAATGATGATGAAAGTATTTTCTTTTTGGGGATTTTCTTTCTTTTTTGGGTCACCCTGCCTCGGTGGGAGACTACTGACTTGTTGAGAGAGAGAGAAAAAAAAAAATTAATGTTATAAAAAAAATCATATCTTGCATAACCCATTACAGTGTTCTGTTTTTGAAAACAAATATTGAAGCTGCTTAGTACTATTGGCTCTCTGCATATAAAAGATCTAAAAATATGGAATGCCTTACCAGAAGATTCTAAAATACTCATAGCTGTCAAATGCTTAAAAAATATTAAGAACACCCTATGAATATTATTTAATTCAACTACCTATCAAAAAAAAAAAAAAAAAAAAAAACTATCCAGATACCAACTGGACTCATTGAACACACTCGTTTCTTTTTCTACTATCTCCTATCACTTTTCCCCATAGATTGTCAATGCTGATTAATTTCATATTAACATGATGTTACAAATAGAATAAAGCTTTCAGTGAAGGTTATGCTAGGTGGGATTAGGCTATATATGTCAAGGTGTACAGCATGCTATAATTATCTGAATTTATAATCATTTAACTTGAAAAAACATAAAACAAAAAATTGTAAGCTAGTAGCACAGAATTTTTCTTCCAAAATTGGCATTTAACATTGTAAATTTATTTGTTTCGTCAATTATTTCCTACAAACGTTAAAAGATCTTTTATACAAAGTTTTCATTGCAAGTTAGGTTATTTTAAGTAAGAAAAAAGGCAAATATTATTGCTAAAATTATTCAATAATTTTCACACCATTTTCTTAATCATTACATTATATCAGAGAGTACATGTATGATTTTAAGCAATATTGAAAACTTTTTAAAAAATTCTCAAAAAATTAGTCTATAGCTGTTTAGATCAAAAATTTTCCCTTGAAATTGACATGTTAAGATTTTGGATAAATTTCTTCATATAAATATGAAAAATCTATCAATAACCTAGGGAATAGATACAATGGATGTAGTCCGCTGGTACCAAATGTTTTCTGAGGACATTTTTTAATGTTAAATCTAGGATTCTATAAGTCTGGGGCTTACTGTATTACAAATATGTAAGTTAAGCATATACCCAAAATACAGTGCATGTTAGTGGCTTTCTTTTGTGTCTAGCTATTTTATTATATGTAGACTACATTTCCTGTATACTTCAGATAATTAATAAAGTTATTATTACTGTATATCGCTGTTCAGTGTGGTAGTTTTCTTCTGTTAATTTTAATATCTGCATCTGAGTCAACCATTTAACTACCCCTTTCTCACATCAGGTTAGTTATATTACTAGTTCTTAAACATTTAAACTTTAAGTCTTTTAAAAATATTGTAAGTAGGCAATTATTATTATGTAATCAGAGAAAGCGCTAAACCAACAAGGGTTGTGCAGCGCTGTGGGGCAGAAAATAGTACCAGGGCTATAAACAGTTAGATGGAGAGGGGATCAGAGGTAAGGGCTGTAAGGAATGCTAGGAGTTTTGTGTCAAAGTTTGTATAGTAAAGCAGTTGCTGACAAAGTCAAAAAGTAATCATAAGTCAAAGGCAGGGCCATCTACAAGAAGGGAAGAGCGGTAGGGCATCGTCGTCGGTGGAGTAAGTAGGCATTAACATTTATTTGCATAAATTTGTTTGCCATGTATTTTTATTTTATCTAATTTTAATATTAACTTTTAAACAGATAACAGTATACTGGTGAATAATGCAAAAGTGGTTGGATCGCAGGCATTCATTTACAACTTGGGTATTGTGTATCTCATTGACAATGTTTTAGTCATCACTGATCAGGACATTGTCAAGGCCATCAACAAATTCCCAGATCTTCATCTCGGAGGACCAACTGAGGTTAGTTCTTTTCACATATTTTCACATTATATATTCTTAATAAATTGTTATAATCATGGGGAATTATTTATTTTAATCAGGAGAGGACTAAATCAGCACAAGCCATATAGTGCTTGGGGAATGGGAGGAAATCAGGTTCAATCCAACTAAAGGGAGGACAATCCAGCTCCTTGAACCAGGAGCCCTTCACAAGTATCATAAACAAAATAGTTCCTCCTTCCTTGAGAGGTAGGGGGAATTATGTTCATACAAAAACATTAAACCATCGGGGTTTTGTGCCTGGAGAATGGATATACGTACTGTATAATGAGGTTCTTGTATACAGCGTGTTCTAATAACTCCTTAATATCACACAGTAGAACACCTGTAACCAAATAATTGAAAGTATGTTGAAGCTCTAAAATCGTAGGGGTTATACAGCACCTGGGGAACAAAAGGTAACGATAGCTTCAATTACTTGGAGCAAGAGTCCTTTATTAAAGTATTATCCTTAGTATAGCAGGAAAGAATATTTCCAAATGAGAAATAGAAGGAACCTCCACCCAGCTAAAGAAACACAAGATGGACTGACTTATATTGAAGGGTTTTGATCCAGGAACTGAAGTTACCTCTCCCCCCTTTAATGCTGTATAGCCCTTGTGGTTTAGCACTTCTTTTTGATTATAATAATAATCCCCATTTAATCAGGCCAAACCTGATCTCCAGACATCGTTCAACTCCTATGAGTTTAGCAACTCCCGTGATTTTATATAATAATGGATAGTGAAAGGTTTTAAGTTTATTAAAAACTAAAAGTATTGTTTGTATTCACTACAATAGTCACTTGTTGGAAATTCTTTAAGAAATTTATATCCCAAATACAATTATAATTGGTAACTTTACAAACTTTAAACATTCCTCTATGTATTACAGGAAAGTGACATTGTAGGATCATCAAACCCACTTGAAGATGATGAAAGTGCCATACCATCTCGTCCTGCAGCACCTCAGACTACAACCAGTCGTCCAGCAACCACTCAGGCCCCCACTACATCTCTCACACCCGCTGTAACTCACACACTACCATCTCTGCGTACTTCTACCTCCAGCGTAACACCTACCGCTACCACCCGCTTTTTCAACATTCCTAAAAGACCCACCTTTACTGCTTCTCCACCCACCACAAGCAGCCGACCAAAGCCCACCCCTACAACCCCAAGGATCCGATTTGAAACTCGCACAGAAATCAGTATAACCCGACAAGTCAATGATGGTGAAGTCGAACCCATAGGAAATCCCTCAAGTTGATTAGACTTAGTAAGTAAATGAAATGTGATGCTTTTTACTATGAGCAAAAATTTCAAGAATCTTAGAACTTTATATATATATATATATATACACACAGTATATAATAAGACTTGTGTGCAAGTTGTATACGAAATTTGGATTCTGAATATTTTTACCTTTTATATTTGAAACTCAGGCAATAATTTTATATCCTTATATATTTTGTTTTTTATCTAAAGGAAAAGTGCAAATCACAGACTGGCTGTGGCACATGCAACATTGATGTGTGAAGATGAAGAGTTACCGTTTTGACAGACTGGTGACGTTGAACATTTATGATGAAAGAACACAAGAATATAAACGAGCTTCTACCAGTGCATAACTGGGTACAAAGCTGAAACAAAATTACGGGTCACTTAGAGGGCAAATTTATTTTAATATACATAAGCTGCTGCAGCTCGAATATCTTGCAGCCTAATGTAAATGGTTAGCAAGATACTAAAACATCCTACTGTAAACAGAAAATGGCCTGCTGGATATTTTGATATCTAAATATTTAATTTTGGTTTAAATGCCATGGTTACTGAATGGCAACAGAAAATCATCAGTGCTGACTCGGTGCTTATTTATAGTTTGATCTGCAATCTTCTAACAGATAAAAGCTTGAGGGACAGCAAGTATTAAGTGGGAGGAGGGGGGGGGGGTCAGAGGTAGTGATATTGTGAAATACTAAGGCAGGATACAATGTTGTGTAAGTCTCAGCAGTGGAAAGGAAGAGACGGTGCAAGTGGTGTAAAAGAAATCTGTTAATACACTGACTGTCATTCATAATACACTATGCATGTATGTAATTCAGAAATGTTTTGCATTAGTATATCAGTTATTTTTTATATACTATACCAGTAATTATTATTCATGGGTAAGAATAGTCCAGATACCCGAGCTCATTTCTGAGTACAGTATTTTGAAATACATGTCATTGACTTATGGAAACAGTTTCCTGTTACAATTTTGCTGATGTATTACATTTACTATTAAAACCTTCTTCATAACTTGAGTTTTCAAAGAAAGCAAAAGGGTTAGTAACCCTAATTGAACAAAATTACATGTATAATGTTTTAATCTTGCATGTTAAATTACCAATTACTGTAGATCATTTATTATCTGGCACCTTCATAAAGGCATCAGATTTTCAGAAATTGGATATTAACATCATATTTTATGATCCCTATTGTTTAAGTGATCCCTTTTCACATTATCTCTCTAGGGGTTTTGTACACACAAGGTCTCCAAATAAAGTTAGACACTGAATAGGTATCGTCAAACGATCTACTGTGTATTGCAAAATATAATCCTGTAATGAAGTTCTTGTTGCATCTAGAACAGTTAAAATTTCTACTAGATTTTAACACATTTAAATGAAGGCTTATTCATTTGAGAGCAATGAAAAATCCAAGATGTTTAAAAATTATAATATTATCCTAATAGCAAGCTGGTACTTCTTAGTGTTTTCCTAATGGGAGTTGGGATCTCACCAGTGTATCCGTATTATTATTATTATACTCATGAAAATCCCTAAGGATCATTTAACATTTTGTTGAATCTACATCAACTTAATTTTTTTTGTTTTTGTCTATTCATCTAGCTTAGTATTGTATAGTTATTTTACATTCCTCTTCTGTTATCTTCTACCATATGCAAACTGTTGAATCTTTCCAAATTAATATTTTTCACTAATAGGAATTCCAAATTCATAAATACAGTAACTGATAGCTTCTAGTGTTCCTATTTTTACAATGCTAAGAGAAAATTACAAGCATCTATGCCCTTAAGTTAGTAAAGTCTTTTGTAAGGAACATCCTTCACTTATAGGTTAGCCAAGTCTTTTAACTTCTAAGTTAGCTAAGTCTTCCGTAAGAAAAGCACTGCACGCCTAGGTATAGGGCTAACTCCTTGGTTAGCCAAATCTTCTATAAAAAATACTGCATTCTTAGGATGAAGAAAAATACTGTACAAAGGAGCACAGCTTCTGGTTAGAGTTTTTGTACTTGAGGATTATTACATTGCTATATTTGCAAAAAAAAAAAAAAAAAATGCTAAACCCTTATGTCTAAGAAAAATTATTGTAAAATTCTGTGCTGCTGTAGTTTTTTCACAGAAAGGCAAGTTAATGGTCTGGGTAGATTCTACACTGCACTACCTCTTGAAGAAATGGAAATTCCTGTATGAAGTATTATTATTGTGTTAATATAATGGTCTCACAGCACTGCACAGCAGAGATGAGAGATCATGGGAAGGGGTGAGGGGGTCACAGGAGGATATTCACCGAAAAGAATGGAGATTACGGTCAATGAAGGAAATTGGTGTCAGTTAAGAAATCAAAGAATCTGCATCAAAGCTGAAATTATGGGCCAGGAGGGAAGACAAAGCATGTATGGGTGTCCTAGAAGTGATAAACATACTGAAACATATCATAGGTATCAGTGAGCATCAAATCTGGTTGTGTTTTCCCATGAATATAATAATGAGCAAATACAGACCATCACTTAAGATGCCATAATAGCAGCTGTTCTGGCCTTTGTACATCACATTTGACATCACTGAGCATTAACTACATTATTATTGTATTCATGAGGAAGCACTAAACTCTTAGGGTCAATCAGCACCTAGGGAATCTGAGAAAAATCAGGTTTAGTCTGAAAAAGGGGAAGATAGCTGTAATTCCTTGAATGAAGAGCCCTTCACCAGCATGACGATACCCCTTCTCCCCATTTCTTGAAGGAGTATCCACTAACTTCATTTATGAAACTTGACATGCTGAACAAGTGAAAGCTAAGAATGTTGATAAGTTGTGATAATAAATACTCAAGATGTGTGGTTCATCTGTCATGTTGGTAATATTGTGTTGTACTGTATACTAACTGACCTGTTCTTTGAACAGATTGATCTGTTCTTTGAATATTGTCAAGTTTCCAAACTTTGCCCATCAGCCAGATGGTCCAGTACCTGTGTTATACACAGATAATCATTCATTATTAAAAGTATATGTAACTGTATCTTTTTATTAGCCTCAATTCTATGCATGAAATGTACACTTTTATTTTATAGCAAGCCACAAGGCAGGGTGACCTAAAGAAAGATAAACAAACATTCACATGCGCTCAATAGCTCTTGCCAGAAGTGTTACTGTCAATTCAAGTGACCCTCTGAACTGCAACACACACTAGCTCCAAACCCATACATAAATTATTTCCTGATTTTTAGCATGCTTTAATTATTACAAAAAATTACACTACATTATATCTCTAAAAATTAAATTTACCTCCAAATCTTGCTCATTTTTTTTCCTTGCCAAGTATCTAAATCTTGTAGATCATGTTTCTCTCTTGCCTAGTATCTAGACTCAATAATGATTGTCTTGTCATATATGTACGTATTTCATGAGGCACATGTGGGTCATTAAGCAGTAGTAGTAGTAGTGGGGGCTTGACTCTATCTGTTGATAATGGCTCACTCTGAAAAGTCAGTCGAATGGCACTGCTGAGTTAATAAAACGGTTCACATCCTTATTGCAGTAGTTACTCGCTTATGCTTAAACCTGAATGTAGAATTCACGTATTTAAAGTTTTGTTAAAGGCTCTGCAATAATTAAAGATGGTTCAAATAACAGGATGCAGCAGATGATAATCATGCAAACTTCCATCATGAGCAAGATGTAAAATGTTACAGAATTGTTGATTTGCACTATTTAATTTAAATACCTGTACCAGACAGATTTTAGTAACATAACATTCATTATACTTGACACTTAAAACCTTTTATGAGTGCAACTTGAACAAGTTTCTTATTATTATTACTAGGGTAGTGAAAAAATCCTCAAACCTATACTGTACCACTCTTTAAATTTTTCTTGTTAATTCTAAGCAAATGGAAGATAAACTGATGTCTTATTACTACCGCCATGTCTGTGTGGATGGCTAACTCCACACATTCCACATTAAGGATGGTAGACAAGCAAGGTTGTCTATAATTTCTACACCTACTTCAATGCAGCACTCAGAGGTACTGTATTAGCACTTTGTAGAGATTTAAGCAAGTCAGCAAGTATGCTTAGCTATACTTAGGGCAAGACATGCTTGAGCCCTTGGTGTCTTAAAAGCAAAAGTAACCAACAGCACAAGTTTATTGGTAACAGCCTCAAGCAGCACAATATATGTGAATAGTTCAGTCATAGGACTGCCAAGATGTACGTTTATTAAAAAATATTTTGTCCTCTTCAATACTCTGGAGAAACTGGCTACTCTTTCTGACAGACTTAAAGAGCACAAAAGAAGTGTTAGACTTGCCAACACTAATAATGTTCTTTACTGTCATGTTAAAGATCACAGTCATCCTGTTGACTGGTCCTCTGCCAAAATTATCTACCCTTCTAGCCTTCATAGATGCAGTCTTGTTGAAGCATCACCTGTTCACAAGCTTTCCTAATATGAATCTTAGTCTTGGCTTTGTCTCTGTAGATGCCTTCCTTTCTCATTAAATTTTCAATGCTTCTAATTTCAGAACACTCGTGACAACCTAATCTTTATCTCTTTACCTTATCTCTTCTTTCATTTATTTTCTTTGCTTTTCCTTTCTTCTACCTAGGTAAGTTCTGTCCTACGAGTTTTTGTCCTACCCTTGTGGGCCATTCTCTCTCCTGCATTGCTCCTTTTTCTTTCTCTTGTTCTTAAACTACCTCCACTACTATTACTACTATTATTGCTTAACACTCCACTCTCTGACTCCTGTATCTCTCTACCACTACTACCTTCTTACTGCCACTGTTGCACTAATTATACCACTATTACGACTACCTCTACCATTACTACTACAACCTATCATTCTACTACTCCCTGCCATGTGGGCGAGGGGCTTGGACTTCCAGCAAGCGTGCGTGAGCGTGTTAGATAGGAGTGAATGGAGATGAATGGTACTTGGGACTTGACGATCTGTTGGAGTGTGAGCAGGGTAATATTTAGTGAAGGGATTCAGGGAAACCAGTTATTTTCATATAGTCAGACTTAAGTCCTGGAAATGGGAAGTACAATGCCTGCACTTTAAAGGAGGGGTTTGGGATATTGGCAGTTTGGAGGGATATGTTGTGTATCTTTATATGTGTATGCTTCTAAACTGTGTATTCTGAGCACCTCTGCAAAAACAGTGATAATGTGCGAGTGTGGTGACGTGTTGAATGATGATGAAAGTATTTTCTTTTTGGGGATTTTCTTTCTTTTTTGGGTCACCCTGCCTCGGTGGGAGACGGCTGACTTGTTGAAAAAAAAAAAAAATAAATATATATAATATATATATATATATATATATATATATATATATATATATATAATATATATATATATATATATTATTCTTCTTTCAACAAACCGGCCGTATCCCACCAAGGCACGGTGGCCCAAAAAGAAAAACAAAAGTTTCTCTTTTTAAATTTAGTAATTTATACAGGAGAAAGGGTTACTAGCTCCTTGCTCCCGGCATTTTAGTCGCCTCTTACAACATGCATGGCTTACGGAGGAAGAATTCTGTTCCACTCCCCCCATGGAGAATATATATCTTTATATATATACTGGCTCCCTTCCCTTCAAACTTCTGTGTGACTAGTTAAAGGTCCAAGTCAGACAGAAACATCGTAAGTTTCATTCTCCTACGTACAGGTTATTTCTGTATGAAGTAAAGGTACAACAGCTTGTGAATGGACACTTGCACACTTGAATTACTAAATTAGTATTAGTGAGGAGGACAGGTATAAAGTGGGAGTTGATGATCATCGGGAAATGATCAGGCTTAAAAGACCACTTATGACTATGTAACCAAGTCTAGAGGAAAAACAGCAAAAAAATCAAGTCATCAATACTGAAATGATTACTATGAGCTTTAGGGTCTACATGGTCGAGACCCATGCAAGGCATTTAAAAGGATGAAAAAAGGCTTTGACAGGTCCTTATCAGGCCCACCTCAAAGGAAATGATAAAAATTAAAATAATTTAATAGGAGTGGTTCAGACTGAAATTAGGACATGCACATTATCTAATGAAAAGCAGCAGGAACAGACTGTAAAGCATTTATCTAAATAAATACTGCATGCAGCAGTGTAACATTATTATTGGAGGGAAGCTCTAAACTAAGAAGTCATACAGCACTTAGGGAATGGGAGGCAATCAGATTTAATCCAAGGAAGAGGAAGAAAAGTTCAACTGCTTGAATTAGGAGGCCCTTACTTGTATCAAGGAACTTCTTTGAAAGAATAGTGAAGCAGAGTCTGAACATAAAATCTAGCATACAGAATATTAGTACATACACAAGGAGTGCACTTTCATTGTATGAGGTATTGGCATACAGTTCAACAAATTGAACAGTCAGAAACAGGAAGACTAAAAATGTGATTAATCTTAGGAATTAACCTATAGGAATTATTTTTTAACATATCGGCCATTTCCCAACAAGGCAGGGTGACCCGAAAAAGAAGAAATGCTTTCATCATCACTCACTGCATCACTGTCTTGCCAGAGTCTGGGAGCAGCCACATTGTGTTGCAGGTAAATGATTATAATTATATACTGTAGGTATGATATTTTGTATTTACATTTTATACACTATTACTGTATGGTGTATATTACACTAACAGGAGGAATAAAAATACAGTGGTATCCCGAGTTTCGAGCTGCTCCCAACTCGAACAATTATGCAAGTCTATTTGTGTTTGTAAGTGTATTTTTGAGGGTATGAAACGGACTAATCTAATTTACATTATTCGTTATGGGAACAAATTCATTCAGTATTGGCACTCGAACAGCATTCTGGAATGAAATAAGTTTGAAACTTGGTTTACCACTGTATAATGAAATGAAATTAGCTTAGAGGTGGTGGTTCATTTCTGAATTAGTACAAAAAAAAAGTTATGGCTGTATTGATCAATTCAAGATATTACAAGAGGGTCAAAAGGATGTCTACCTTCTGATGTCTGCTTGACCCTAAATACATGAACAATCACCACCCAACTCACCTGACATCACCCATGCTTGTAATTCACTGAAGTCCTCAACTTACAAGCAGGCCATGACTCGAAAACATTTGAACTGAGAGTCTGAGCAGCAAATACATGAGCAAGCCACCACTCAACACACCTGTAATCCATAACTTGAACTGGGAATTAAAAATTGCACAAGCTCTAAGTGTGGCCAGCAAATACAAAAGCAAACCATCACCCAACCCACTATGTTATGCTGGTATGTAATACCAAAAAGTTGGTAAACAAGTGCAATACACAAGTACCGACATACAAACCACAGCCCAGCTGGTCAGGTACTAACTTTAGGTGCTTGTCCAGCTCCCTCTTGAAGACAGTTAGGGGGCCTATTGGTAATCCCCCTTATGTATGTTGGGAGGTAGTTGAACACTCTTGAGCCCCTGATACTTTTTGTGTTGTCTCTTAGCATACTCAGTTAAGTGGAACACTTTTGGCCCCAATCACCTTGGATGAATATTTATATTGCATTTTCCTCCAGTATTGTATTAGCACTAATATGCGAATACAGTACAGTTAAACACTCCTACTGAATAAACCACAGTACGGGTGGGAAGTGAACTCACAGCAAATGAGTTGTAAAACTCTAGGCCTTCACATAAGCTGGCCTCGCGTGGTTTGTCTGCAATCGTGTTATTACGATTTTGTGACTCCTACTGAATATTATATCCTTGTGCCTGAGGTTCTGCTGTAATTAAAATTCAGCAAATGTTGCAATATTATATTACACAACTGTTTGTAATAGTATCTAATATCTTCATTAAGGATGCATATAATCACAATTAAAAATGTCAATCTCAAAACACACTCAAATGATTCGTGATCAGGCACTAACACATACCTGGACAGTTAACCATTTATTATGAAGTCATATCATTATAAAAATAATTACAATCTACTTGTCAACAGAGAAGCGGTGTTGTGCCTGTGTCACCATCGGGTCAGGCTATGGACGACCCTTTCACTACAATCCC